AACTACTGGACTAATTTGGTCTCCAGTACTTCATTCTTTTGGGGTTTGACAATAGATATAGACACACACACACACTAATTTTTTAAAAAATTTATTTCAAAGTAAAAGAAAAAGTGAACATTATTAAATTGGAGGAAGTAATATGTTAGTTTTGGTAACTTAAGAATATTTGCAATTTAGATGAACAGTAAATATTTTGTATCGTATATATTTTAGGATCTATGATTTGTGTTTTAGTGTGCCAAAAATTCCTTATTGAAATGCTTTATACATTACAGTGATGTAGCTATCATCAAAAATGATGTTATCTATACTGATCTCATAAAATTATAATATGCAGTAAAGAAAAAGAAAAGATTGGTCTCTTAAAATTAGAAAGTATAGTAAAAAGTGTATGTGTTTATATAATTCTCTGAATTGAATAAAAGTAATTTATAGTTTGTGAGAATAATTCGTGAAATGTTGGTTATAATTTTAACAGTTGATAATCACAGATAACATTAGTATTTATACCAGAAAATATAATTTGTAGCATAAATAGAAGCTTTTCAAATTTTCACTTAATCAAGATCTTGTAATAAAATGTATATTTATATTGCAGGTAGCCATTAAAATAATTGATAAAACTCAGCTTAACCCTTCAAGTCTTCAGAAGGTAGGATTTTTTGATTAGTAGAAAAGTGTTTATCATGCAGTTTTTTAGAATATGTAAAATCAATTATATTTTCTCTATGGCAGTGTTTGTGTTTGAATTTAGGATTCATTTAGTGTGAATAGATAGCAATTTTTAAAATTTTATTCAGTATATAAATTCATTTCAAGTTTTAGATATTTTGTTGTGGTACTATAGTAGTTGATAGTAGTATTTTTCATTATCATTATCTTGTTTTTGACCAAACACAATTATACCAATTGTTTGTTCTCAAAAGTTTTGATATGTAAAACACTTAATTATTTTATTTCTTGATCATCATTAAAATGATTTTTAACTGTAGGTCATATTGTACTGAACATGCTCGGTTTTCAATTAATTATAAAATCATTGACCTGATAATGTTCCATAAAAAAAAGAGATATTTCATCCAAGCCTAGGCATGTCCCAATATTTAGCTAATTGCACTGTTACTTTGAGGGCACATGATTTGTGTTCTATTGCTGCAAAATTACACGCTGTAGTTTTGAGCTGTACGTGCATTATAAGAGTGGCAGACAAATTTATTATACATTTAATATAACTCAAGAGTTGGTGGTGAGTATTGTTGACTTGCTACCTTCCCTGTACCCTATCAGTTCAAAATATGGAATGATTATTGCAGATTACCATGTATAGCTTTGTTTGAGTAACTGAAATAAACAAAAACTTTTGCAGTCATAATAATAAAGTGTGATATCTACTTTGATACCTCTTACACTTTTCAGAAATGCTATGTATTGATATGCTGTTGTGCTGTAATTGGATTTTTTGTGCTTACATTATAGATTTTTATAATGATTTCACTCTCTGTGAGTGTTCACATATATTTTTTTTAACCATTATATCATAAAGTAATGTGAAAATATAGTAAAAAGCTTCCATGTACTGACATAGTGATGCAAAGTTTGAAGAGTTAATCTGAGTCCAAGAATGTGATATCTGGATTTTTCTCTTTGTAAATAGACTGTTTATAAATTTCACATTGGAATCCCACTTTCAAGGCTAAATGGCATCAGTAGCATAATAAAAAGTAAATAGGTTACTTTTCATCACTGCCAGCAGAGTCACCATTAATGCAGGGCAGTTGGTTAGGGTCCCTTGCTGTGGGGGACCTGCATCAATATTTCTGAGTGATATTTACAGATGAAGCTGCAAAACCAAAAATCACATAGTTAACTCATTAAAAAAATGTACCACATCATTATGTTATACAATTTTCATCATATTTTCCTATTGCCAAATACTGTGAGGAGCCTCACACTGCATCTTGGCTATGGCTATGCAATGTCTAAGTTCAGCTCTGATTGCCAGGTATTCTTGTGTTGCAATAATTATATATCTTATGTAAAATAAGAAAAAAGACACCTTCTTACTCAGAGTAGTGTAGTTTGTGACATTGTTGAACAAAAAATAGTTTTTACCCTATGCAAATAATGTTTTGTGACAGTTGTAAAGTAGTTTTTATTTTGATGGAAGAAGAATATTAATTTATTTTATGACTATATTTGAGTAATTGGAGCTCATTTTTGAAATTATGATTGAGGTAGAAAGTTAAGACCAATAGAAACTATCTGGAATATGAATGAAGAAAGCTTCCATTGCTTCCTTAATAGAGTTTGTTTATTTTGATTTAAATAAAAATAATATTCTAGGTAAATTAAAATAGTATCATATAGAAGTTATTAACTGCATAATGGGCAGTGTGGTGAAAGTAATATTTATTTTTAAAATTAACATTGGCAAAATGCTATTTTATGTTTGAATCATTATTCAGCTTTAATCATGTAATTTGCAATTTACTGACAATTTTGCTTTTTACATAGATATATAGAGAAGTGAAAATAATGAAAATGCTAGACCACCCAAATGTAGGTAAGTGATCAGTTGTGTGGAATTTTGTTGAATTGTATTAATGCTGATAATATCTAATGAACAAATTGCTTTAAGACTGATAAGTTGATTATGTAAATCTGGTAAAACTTAACATAGTTTTTCTTTTCAAAATAAATTAGTTATACATATCTCTGCTATTATGTCAAAACCATGCAAGTCAATTTTATTTTGGGATTTGTATCTTACATAAAAATCTTCCCAAAATATGGCATCCTACATTCTGTCCAAACTTAGTATGCACCTTCCAATTGCAAATGCCACATTTGTTGTATTATCAAAATCTTGTTGTTAAGATGACCTAATATTTATAGTTTCCATATCATCTTATCCCTGAATCTGTAAATTTGGCTTTTGGACATACACAGTTTTAACATGACAGTGACCATACAATGATATTTGAAAATTCTTGAAGAGTAAAAGAAAATATAAAACAACTATATATTTTATTTCAATGAAAATGCCCTCTTCAAATAGCTCAGGTTATTAGTGATTTATTTTGATATGGTTAATTTGGTAAGTCATTTCCATTTTCAAAGTCTTTTATTATGTATTGTATAAATTTGTAGATGATCTGCATAAACATTTTATTTAGTAAAGAAAACTGAAGTATTGCTCATTGTTCAGATGAAAGGGCTATTGCCTTGTGAAGAAGTGTTAAAAGTAAAATTAAATTTATTTAAAGACTAAGGGAAGTTAACTTTCAGTAGTAAGGTTGTATAAAAGAAGCATCTCTGTTTGATGTAACAGTCACAGAGGTATCCCCCATACACAATGTCAAGCAGGACACAATGCAACTATCATATGAAACAGCAGATGAGATCCTTGACAGGTTAGGCTACAAAAATAATACTTCAGGCTGAATTTGTGCACAGGATCTGAAACAGATTTAGTGAATTTTGTACATAAGAAAGACATATTATGGGATAGTAAGATACATAGCTTTTTACATGCTAAAATTCCTATTATCAGATTGACACAGTGATATTAATTATTGTAAATAAGAAATACATATTATGGGAAAGCAAGATATGTAGTATTTGTATATCAAAATTCCTATTATCAGATTGTGATATCATCCATACTAACTATCAAGTTTTTAAATGTTTAATAGTGTATCATAGAGTGAATATTTTATTTAATGACACTCAGCGATAAGTCTGGAGGCTTATAATGCTAAAAAATGGGTTTCAGTTCTTGTGGTGGGCACAGCAAAGTTAACCCACTGTGTAGCTTCGTGTTTAACAAACAAACAATTTTGATAATTAATTAATATATTGTTATTTTACATTGTGTTACTTAGAGATATTTTGTAAATTCATCTATTTATCTTGTCTTTGGAAAAGACTGAAGGCAAAGTATTTTTATGTTTGCTTTGAAATTTAGTTTAAAAAGTTGGCACCATGAAATTGATATATTATGCTTTTTATTTTAAAAGCCTGTAACAATAATTTCTTTAAAATAAACTTGGGATGTATGTGTATGTGGTTATCCATAATATCCCTTAAGTCCAAACTTCAAATTTCACAATTCATTATATTGTCAATATAAAATGTTTATGTAATTTTTGTGATCAAATTGTTTATCTGGTAAACTACATTAAAGTTGTTTAATGTGTAACCCTTTTTTTACTTCATCTGATTGGAATATTTGTATATTTTTAGTGAAACTTTATCAGGTCATAGAAACTGAAAAAACTTTGTATCTTGTGATGGAATATGCCAGTGGAGGTAAAATATATTTTCTAAAATCTTAGAATTAGTTATTGGTTAAACGTAGTTATATTTCATATATTCTATTATGAATGGTTAAAATCTTGTATAAATTGATTGAATGTTTGATCTTGTTATTGTAATTTTTGACAAATTTGAAATGCATAGTGCATTAATGCTTGTTTGCATTGATCATATATAGATTTATGATACTTGGTGTGAAACCCAGCAGTTGAAACTGACAATGATTTAATCCTATCTCTATGGGTCTTCCTATGGTTAGGGGTCAAAGGCCATGTCATCATGTTTGTAGAATTTTATTAAACCACTATTTTATGAATGTATGTGAATAGGTTTTGATCAAATTGTAGATTATAATTCAAATTTTAGTATTATACATTGTTTAATTTCTTAATATAGAAGTAAATATAAAAAAAAATCCTAATTGTCAGTTTTTGTCTGCCACATGGGTATGTTGAATGCAGCATTTGTTCAAATTAGATGTTTGTGATGTCCAAATACAAAGCCTATAGTTTCTTACAAATTAGGAACTCAAATTACCAACACTGACAAGCTATAAGATAAAATAAGAACCTCTTATCTTTTCTATTTGCTGAGATATTGCCACATTCACTGAATCAAACACAATTGGCCCTGTCCACTTCTGTCCATTTTTGGAAAGATTTGCTTATGTACACCTATTTCTGTCTATGACGTGTGAATGACCAATAGAAAGCTCAGAATGTCCCCCTAGTGGCTTTCTCAACCTTTTTCAAAATAAATGGTTAGCAAGCTCGTTCTTTGGATGCTAGATTTCAAGTGGTAAGGTTAGAATTTAGTGAGCTTGAAATTTCATATTTTTTAGACCCATATACAACTTAATTACAAAGCTTGATAAATTATAGTGGAATTCTGTGGTATTGATATAGTAATTTATGATTTGTGGTTATTTTAAAATGTATATATAAACCTAAAAAAAAAAGTATTTCGTTTCACATCCTCCATATGCAAAATTTGATAAGGCTTAGCGACCACAAGTGGTCGTTCAATTCACATCTTCCCTATTATTATCCATCCAACCTGTATGGTTTTCGTCTCCCACAGTTCATTGGGATTTGGATCTTAGTTCTAGGGTTATCTGAGTGTGGTTGGTCTGGAGGTAGTGAGAGAGTCGGGCTAGTTCTTCAGAGTTTTATTCCTGTTAGTTGTTGAACCTATGAAGATGGGAGATTGGTGTTTAGTCATCAATCTTCCTTGTCTATATAACAGTGCTTAGATTCTCCACGGTTCACAAATTAATCATTCCTGAATCTGTGTTGACTTTTTTACTGGGATTGTAGATGTCCAACTTGGTTTTTGTTGGCTCCTATCTGCACTTTGCCTTCGTGTTGGATTCCCACCACTACTGGTGTTTGTGGTGCACAAAGGTCAGGTACTGCAGTTCTGGGTTTTTCCTTCAGTCTCATATAGGCTTAACATGGGTTCTGCTGTATCGTATAAGATTTCTCATCCCTTCATTCCATTGAACTGTGTACACACACCATTCCATGGACAACTGGTTACTGCTGGCAACATCTCGTCAATTGTTAGATCATCACATTCTACTTCTACTTTCAGGTACAACCCAGGCAGGTTTCTCTTTTGGAACTATGACATTTATTCTTGCTCCAATTCAATATGTCACCAGTCTGGGTATTTTGTATTTTTTCATCTCATCTCTTAGTTGGGCTCAGCTTCTCCCATCATGCTCAACACTATAGAATAGGATGCCACACTCTTTCTTACCTCTCCTTCTCCCACTGCATGGATGGTTCTTTTTCTTCTGGGAATGTGGGCATCACTTGAATCCTTTATGCCTTTGAGATGAGAACACAAGTGATTCCTTTATTGATCTTTAGGCGACCAGGGATCGTACACACCTATTTCCTGGTTTCCTCAGTTGGGATCATTCTTCAATCTCAAGAGATTAAATCAGGAAGCTACTACAAATTGGGTTTTTCTACTGCCACCTCATCCAAAATCCATTCTCTTCATGAATGAGTTGCTTCAGGGATGAGTACATATACCAACAGTCAGGAATTCCAGAGTATGCATGGAGGACAAGGATTCCTACACAATGCTCTTGTCCATCTTGCTCTTCAACAGGCAAGATCTCATGTTATAGGCTTCTTAAGGGATAAATCATCAGGCTTCGCTCCAACTATTCCGCAGTGGTGTCTTATATTTGTCATCAAGGAGGCATGTGGTCTAGGGCTCCTTATTCTCAAAATTTGGACCTTCTTTCTCAGGACTAGTCTTATCACCCTTCTAGCTTGCCATGGGTGATGCCTGTGGTAGCAGGTCCATTGTCTCAATCCAAACAGATTTTCCCAACAGAATAGATGTCGAATTGCAAGGTTTAGTTGGGTTGCCTCTCATTTTGCAACTCTAATTGGTGGGTTGACCTGTCATTGGATCACCCAACTACTGGCAATTTGGTCTCCAGTACTTCATCTTTGGGGTTTGACAATAGATGCCATCCATATGGACAGGATGGGATTACCATTCTCAACCATTTAACCACTTCATACATTACGTAGGGTACAAAATGTGATTTGTTCCATCCTATTGTCAGATCCTGTTGATTGCATCACATTGGTGGCTACACCTGGGTTTCTGTTTCTGTGGTCCTTTTCAGTGTGTCCAACTCTTCCACTTCTTTTTAGGCTCTCTCTGTGCAGGCAGCCATGATCAGATATAGTGCACCCAGCTGTCCAGAAGCTCAAGCCTCTGACATAGAGGTTATGCTGTATTTCACATGTCACTAGGGTTTAATTTCTAAGGTTGACATGTATCTGGCTCAGTTTCTGCTTAGTCCAAAAGTCACTTTTCTTAAAGGTAATGACATACATATTGGCAATTTTGTATTGCAAGGAGTTGAACCCTTTTCAGTCAGTGGTGTTAACCATAACTCGTGTTTTGACTTGGCTCTTTGACAGAGATTTTTGCATTTTCCACAATTGGCATTTTTTATGGTGGCCTTATCAACTACTGTTTGATTATTGCAACTATGTATTTTTGAGTCCCCAGTATTCTCTTGATTCCTCACATTATTTTGGGTAATCAGATTTCTCTTTTCTATGTCCTTAGCAGCCTGTTTGAATTGCCTGTTGGAGATTACTATGCAGACCTCCTCCAATACCTTTATCTCGCATTATTTGCTTGATCTGGAAGTCTCTTCGTCTGAGAATTTTTGTCTACCCCCTGTAGCTGTCTTAATTATTTCTGCTAGATTATCCAAAGGGGTGAGTATTTTTTTCTACCTTTCAGTGTTCCATATCTTATTTTCACAGGCTCCCACTCTGTGGCGAGTGTTGCCCAGACAGGTGTGCTTTTCTCAAACCAATTCCACACTAGCAACCACTATTTCACTATAATTACTACCAGTTGCAACAGGCTCTGTAAAAATGAGGTGTTCCACAAGACAACCTAGGAGCTTACCAGATGGTATTACTATACTATGCTGGACTGCCACCCATGGACTATCATGAGTAAAGCTAAAGGGGATCCTGCTCATCATTGGATTGAATAAATCATGGTCAGTTTGCTTTTAGGGAACTTGGTTCACCTATTGCACTGTTTCCAGAACACTGTTCCTCAGGACTCCCTAATGTGCATTACCCTTCTAGATTCTACTAGTGGAGCTATGGAGTCCTTACCACACCCAGTTTTCATTCACTGGGGTGGTGAACAGAGGCTTTTCCTACAGAGTGTTAGAGTGAATTCCTTCACTCTTGAAGAAGAGAATGAAGTTGGGGCCCTCCTATCCGTGTCCCTGGATGTTTTTTCCCAGATGTCGGTAGGAGTGGCACTAGCCTACACAGGAGCCTACTCATAATACCAGTTCAGATTTGATACTTGGCTATCTGGTTGGGGTGTGCATGGACCTTCTTTTGGATCAATATCACTTCAGTATATTGTTCATGGAAGGAGGTCCACTATCTCCTCGTAATTCTGAACACGAAGTGGCCCCATCCTGAGACCTTGGTTGAGCACAGTTATTCTATGTCCACCCCATAATTCTGGGGGCAAGTAGAAGGCTCCTTGCCCACTCTGTTGGGAGTGAGGATGAATGTTCATAATTCCAGATTGGATGAATTACGAGCCTGGGAAGTTGTTATTCAGCTTCTTCAGGTGGAGGAGAAGGTTTGTCCACTCAGGTGTTGCTTACGTTATTGTCGTGATTCTGGTTTAGAATGCATCACTCTATGGCTACAGGCTGGGATCCACTCACAAGTATATACATTGTGGTCCAAATGCCCTAACCACCAGTATGGGATATAGGGACCAAGACCCCTTAATTCCAATGCAGAGTAGCGGAACCTCGAATATCTGGTTGGTGCTGGCTTTTAGTGATGATTACTCATGTAAATTCCACCCTCGATACAGGAAATAAGTTCAGGGTAAAGAGCATACCTGTTCTGGATGTAGTGTGGCTCCCCCACTCGGGTACCACTCTTATCTTGGTACACTCATTATCTATGTAGATGCTTTCTGTATGGATAATGCCCTCGCTGGCCCCTCCACCTTCTCAGTATGGGATTCTAGCTATAAGTGGCAGCAGAGGTAAGTATGTTTTGGAAGTTAACATTTTCCAAAATTGAAAATGTATTTTTAATAATACTTATCTCCGCTGACACTCTCTCATCCTTCTTTTCCACTAAGAACCAGTGTTAGAGACTGTGATGGTATCAGTCTTAGCGACACTTTGTCGAAAAAAAGATAAAATTATCTGAATGAGGTACTTGTACATAGTACCAGGATAGAAGGGGCATTGACGTAGGTGGAGAGTGTCATGAGACAAACATCGCCAAGGGTAATTGAGTGGGGTATGAAAGACTGGAGCAAGTGAGAAAAAATCAGACTAATGCTTAGATGGGCAAAGAAGAAACCCTGGTGGTTGAGTAATATCTATAAGTGTCAGTGGAGGTAAGTATTATTGGAAATACATTTTCAATTTTAGTTGATGTTAACTTTTCTTTTTTTGATATACTAGCTTTGTGTTTAAGAAATCAACTTTTTACAATGTAATTCAGATAATAATATTAGATGTATAATGAAGAATTCTTAAATAACAATAACTATTACAGTACATACTCCTCACAAACTATTTTTTTACATTAATTAATGACACAGTGGTGAAAAAGTAAAGAGTACATGATATGTTTACATTGGAAGTGCTACACCATAGTATTTCATACTTTTATGCTAGCCCATCTGCCAATCACTTCATCAAACCTGTGCAGCTCTGATGGAGTTTTTGCCTGTAAACCACACACTTGGCAATTTTTTAGGATTTTTTCTGTCCATTGGTACCATTGGTTGTTGAATAGTCAATGACTAGTGCATGATTAATTTCCTTACACAAAATTCCATATGTAACTAATAAGTGTCTTTATTTACAAACAGATACACATAACTGGTGGTGCAGAAATCCTCAACCTATACACTAAGTCTAAGACACTATAAAAAGAGGTAGTCCTAGATATGCAGTTTACTAAGTTTGGACTGTGCAGCAGTTGAACTTGAAGTGTGAGGTTCACCTGTGTTCATAGCCTTTGTTTCATGCTTAATATGAACTGAGTATTGATATTTGGTTGCTGTGACAAAGTTGGCTAGAGTGCTCTATTTTGGCTTAAGTGCAGAAACAAGACTTCATTCACTTTGTCCAGGTTCAGTGTATCCCTGTATTTTGCAATGATGTGGCTTGTGGCTGAAAAAATTGTAGCAAAATTGGATAGTAGCAAGTTAAATCTAGCATACATTGTCAGAGAGGTTTGCTGCAGACGTTCTGAGGCTCCAAGAAGACCTTTTTCAGATTTCTCTGTTGCTCCTGACCCTTTATAAGCCAAAAATTAAATGAAATTTTCATTGAGCATTCTTATGTAAAGTGAAATACACTATAGTACCAGCAAGTTTTAGACAGTCTTTGTTTTTATCTTCAATAACTTGATGTCTACAGTTTACTTTCAGGCCAATAGTGTACAAAGAGTAAGCAAGCATATTTCAGTGAACAGTCATAATTATGTACACACCTTTTTCGGCACTTGTAGTAGGTTCATCTCGTATTTAGCAGTATGCTTTGAGTGAATGTGGTTTTCATGGCTGATGTACTGCCATGATAAGCCAAGTAAACCTGTCTTGGGCACAGTAAACAAACCACTTACTTCTTCTTTGTAAATTCATCTTCCTTATGTTTAACATACTTTCAGTGTTTTCTATTTGGAGGAATGTTAGCAGATTACTTTGACTAACTGGAGCTTAATTTCACAGCTACAGCTCCTTTTCTGGTGACAGAAACTTTATGGAAATGCCTTCTTATTAGATAAAGTCCACAACTTCTTTTCTGGGAACAGAAAGTTTAGAGAAACCTTTCCTAAAAGTATACTGACAACCTTATTATTTTCAAGTAAAAGCTTAAAATTTTCAAACCATTGCCCTAAACATCACTTCTCCCATAATAAGATCAGAGTGCACTATTGTAAAGTTCAAAATAACCAGTTTTGCTTTAGCAACATCACTTATTGTTATAGTAATTAACTAGTTATTTGTGAACTAATGGTGAATAGTACAAACTGTTTATTTAAAGTCATGAGGCATACAAAATCATGAGTAAAGTTTATATGAAATTGCAATTTGCAACCTAAATAGCAGATAAACTGCATAACCTAAAATTTATGACTAGTTGGGTAGGAAAAAAATTAGTTGAATAGTTGGGTGCTAACTAGTTGTAGTCGACTACTATGACTAGTCGTCCCAGCCCTAATATCTACTCACTTTTGAAGTTCAAGTACTAGCATTACATAGAAACTTGAACTGGTTGTAATAATTAATGCCGTGGATAACTTTTGAATGTACAGAAGCTAAAATATAAGTAAAATAACGTATATATAAATACAAAACTTAATAAAAGTCAATGAGAAATATTTAGAAAAATATCTAAGTTTAAGTTTTGCTGGTAATTAAGGTTTAATTTAGAAAACTAGTCATTAGAGTTGAAAATTAAAATGAATTTTTAGATGGTATAAATAAAATTGAACTGAACCATTAAGTTGTAGTAAGTTTAGCCAATTATAATCGAAAAAGATGATAATACAGTACTATTCTATTTTGTTATTGAATTTTTTGAATAATAACTATGATTTCAGGAGAATTATTTGATTATTTGGTTGCTCATGGAAGAATGAAAGAAAAAGAGTCAAGAGCTAAGTTTAGACAGGTAAGTTTCATGTGATCATTGTTAGACAAGGCATATGATTAAATAATTGTATTCTTTGGACAGTTTTAGGACTTCATAATCTTCATGGGTTTTATGTTTTACCAATTTTCTGAACTACTTTACTATTTTAATTCAAAAACTAGAGTTTGAAGACAAATCTGCAAGGTGTAATTTTGAACTAGTTTTCAGTTATGTTAAACTAAAGTTGTACAACAAAATACCTATATTCTGATTTACATTATACTATTAGTGAAATTGAAGATCTTGTTTTCAAAGTTGCTCAATTTTTCTTTTATGAAGTCACTGAGAAGTAATACATGAGGCTTTATATAAGTTTTTGTAGAAACAGAGACATTTCAAAACTCCAGTTACTCTTTTTTTTTAAGTTTACTGTAGAGCTTGCTGGACACTACCAGCAAAATGAAATTGAGTTTGTTAAATTCATGTTTTGTGACAAATCTCTTAAAAAGTTTCTGAATGCATTTTAGTAAACTTAAATGTTTGCATTTGGGGATTCCAATAAATTCACTTGGTAATTTTTAATGTGTAGCTATACTGTAGAGAGCTGGCAAAGACAATGAAATCATTGTATTGGATTTTCATAATTATGGCCTCTACTCTTGAACTGTTTCCTTTAAATTTAGTGTTGAGGTCAGGAAACAGTTACAGACACAGTATTTGATCAAATAGGAGAATAATTTTAAGTAAAAAGCCAAATTTATACCATGTTTGGGTAATTAATGTGTGTGTGAAGGCTAATTCATAACTGTAAATTATTTTTTAATCTGTAAGCTCAATTGGCCAAGTTAGCCATGTAACCTGAAATGGTTGTAGTTTTATAAATAAAATAAAAAGCAAGAATAACATCTAAAAATGTACAATAAAAGCTTTACTTGGCCAACAGCCAATGTTAAATAATGACACATTTTGGCAGCTTTATAGTTTTATTCATCTGTAGAACCACAAAAAATAAGTTCCATGCCATTCTTTTTTCAAATATTTTATGAATATTAGGAACATTAAGAAATGCTTAGAACTTTTATGTGTTTAAGAAATAATATAACAAACCTTGAAAGAGATTTCACAGTGTTGCAACAACATTATTAAAGTTTGGGTTGCAAGATTTTTTTTCTTATACTTAAGATTTAAATATCTAGGCTATTTTATCATCTGGTAGCAATGATTTTAATTATATTTATGGAAAATGCATTCTTCCAGGTACGAAAATATTGCACTTTGGATACTAAGAAATGTTGTTTAATTCCCAGTATTTTATTGTGCTTTATTCTCTTTTAGATTGTTTCAGCTGTACAGTACTGTCATCAGAAAAAAATAATACACCGAGACTTAAAAGTATGTATACATATTTTTTTTGTCAGAATACTTGTTGACCTTTTTGCATCTAGTAGGTTAAAGTGTGTATGTCACAGTTTTTTACAGAGTTACATTTAAACTTTAAACAAACTATATTATTATCAATCTATACAAATAAACTTAACATCAAAGCTTAGCTAATAAACAAATTTAAATATTATATAAATTTTAAGTTCTTAATTTTATTAGGAAATATTTAAAAAAAATGTCAATACTCCTTAGTATGAAAATTGTGACATCTGCTCTCTAGGTCTTTCCTCTTCTCTAATTTTTTTACCACCTGTCTGAGAAGTAAGGAATTTAATATAAATTACTCATCATAATATAGTTATTACTCAGGTAAAGCATAATTTTTATAGCCTTCAATGTTATTTGGTTATAGAGCTATAAACTAGAAAATCAGACCCGCTTGCCATGTCCATGTGTCACATCCTGTCTTTTACAAATTACCAATAAATGCTTAGTACAACAGTATTTATAACCAATAAAGTACTAAAGCTTTAATCTGTCAAATGACACATTATATTACATTGTTTTGTGTATGGAAAACTGTGTTTTGTTTCCAGTTCAAAGTTTATTCCCATGGGAAACACATTGAAAAGATTAGCTTAATTTTTAACAGCTGTTATCACATAGTTGGAAAGCAAAACATATTATGATAGTTATAGGACATTGTCTACTTCTTACATGTTGTTATTCTGTGTTCTTAGGTGCAAAATTTAATTAAATAAACAATTATTTAGTGTGGTAGTACCATTAGAATAAAAAAGTAGGCTGATATTTCATTGAGAATCGACAGCAAGACCCAAGTAAATACTATATTTCTTGTTTTTCATATGTATTCTTTATTTATTATTATAAAAGTAGCTAAAATGTATGAATTTGAAACTTGTTATGTTAGATTAGGTAAAATACTGAATAAAATAATAATAATAATAATGAAAAATTTTCACAAGGTATGCTTGCGAGCAACTCATGACTAGACTGTGCATTACTGATTTGGCAGGGTAACATAAGCTACACATTCACTGATTGATTTACAACTTGTGTGGTGGGATTATTAGTTAAGACACAGTTAAAAGGGTAATAAAACAATAAAATTTAAGTAGAAGCACACACACACACACTTTTACAAGCTTTAAGCTATTTAGAATAAACAATTGTGGTTTCTTGTTAAAATTTGCAGTTTTTTTCAGAAAGGAAACAGGGTAATTTAGAATTATTTCCTAACTTTCTTATCGTGGTTATGAGGTTGGTCAAATCGACCAAATGGACAATGTTTTAGTAAAAATACTTAATTAAAAATTCTTAATTTTTTGTTTACAAAAGACTTAATGTTTACTGAAAGCTTGCCAAATTTCGTGAACATACATTAAATTCTTTCAGAGTCATAGTATGTATACCACCATGGTTACATGATGATTATGGGGTTGTGTGATATATACAAGCCTGTTGCAATATGGTTTATAAAGTTAGAGATTATCTTACCATATGTGAAAAATCCATTGTGTAAAGGTAACTGTTGTATTTATTTAAATTACCATATTGTAGATACAAAGTACAGTCCTCTACCTTGTGTAAGCATAATTTTTTTTATATTGAAATAGACAACTACCATAATTTATCTCTTTAAACCATAGTCTGTCTAACAAAGACCAATCCTGTTACTTTTAATATTTCATTAGGAAAATACAATATTACTGTAAATGTGAAACATGAGAGTAAAAGTTTTTCAAGCAATACTACATTATTATTCTTGACTTATAGGTTGGAAAAACATAATGTCATAGTGAAGTAACTCAAGCTAAAATTTAATAATTTTTCTTTGCATGTAAGTATCAATCTAATAGGTTGAAAATGTCAAAAGCTTTGATATTATGCATATAAAACTACCTTTATTAAAACTATCATACATATAAATAATATATATATATACACGCAAACACCATATTTTCTTAATCTTTGCAAGATGAACTGAATGTACAAAAGGGTCAGTCTAATGGACCAACCCCATATTGGAGTAGGAATGTTGACTATAATTCCAAATTTAACACATGTATATACCTTGCATCTGACAAGCTTTTAGTAAAATATACAATTCTTTTGTACACAGAAAATCAGATTTCTTACAAAGTATTTGTACTCAAGATATGTTTTTGAATTGACAATTTCAGTCTGACTCAGTCTCTGACAAGTCAGAGTGCAAGGTGATTGTCAACTGAAGAATAAAAATACTTTTATCCATCCCACAGTTTACATATTGCATTTGCATAACTTCCAGAACCTCCAAAATAAATATCTACATTTTTTTTTTCAGTATTTCTTTATATTGCCTCTGGTATTTATTCTTCTGTTACATAAACTGTTGCTAAATCAGCAATGTAGGATAAGATAAACAGTTGATGACTCTAACATCAAATACGTGATATCATGTTGAATGTCACCCTGTAAAAGTTTGTGGCATGCACACTTTGAGCCTCACCTGTGTACCTAGAGTTAATAGTTAAACATATCTACACAGCCTAAAAACAAAAACTGAAAAGCTGTTAGTTTCCTCCCTTGCACTGTCATTTCATGATCACATTCACATTTTTGGATTTGATAAATAGCTGTTTATAAATTTCTCCACAGAGCAGAATACACAGGGATATGTAAAAATGTATTCATGAGCAATTAATATTTTATTAGCAATATATACAACAATTGTATGTTTTGTTATTATTATACATGTAGTTTTGGGATGATATTTTTCATAACATACATTTGGTAAGCTATTTGCTTATTGTTTTCTTCATTATCATAACTTAATTTGTGTTCTATAGATAAGTATCTGTAGAAGTTAAAATTCAGACACAGTCTCAGCTTTCACTTCAGTTTCATTTATAACATAAAAGTAGGTTTGGCTACCCATGACATTTATATTGATACAAGTAATTCTGTTGATATATTTTTGGGTGTTCTAACAATTAAATATACAGAAACATCTTTTCATATTTACAGTTTTTATACTCTAAATAACATTTAAAATAGCAAAATTATAAAAATGTAATGTATATGTGATAAACATTTTCAAGCAGAGAATCATATATTCATCCCAGAAACTGTGGATTTTACTTTAGTACTAGATCTTACTATGTGGGTGAATTTACAGTGAAAAATGTTTATTATTAAACAGAGCAACAAACCACATTTATTAGAAGGTCAAAATTATTGTACATTTTTGTTTCAATTTCAAAAATGAATGTAATTATATTTAATAGATATTTACTTCATGTTGATTCTAGACTTCTGCTTTTAAATGCAAAAAATTATACTAGATGTGAAGAGTGTACAAGACTAGTACATGTTCAAAGTGACATTGTATTGGTTTGACTGTAGTTAGAATTAACTGAGAATACAGTAAAAACAAACAATTATATTGATGTATGATGCTAATAATGTTTATATGAAAGTTTTCAAATTTGAGTCTTGCATCACCTTTTTGTTTCATTTGAAATTAAGTTTTTTCCTGAAATGTTTGTAGAAAATGAAGACGTATTGTTAAAATGTTACCTGAATTACTTCAGCACTAACAGTATTAAAACTATCTGAAATACTTTTAACATGAACAGTATTTAATTGTTAATTGAAACACCTCAACATTAACAGTATTAAAACATTAACTATAATACTTCAAAATTAACAGTGTTATAACATTAACTGAAATGTTTCAATATTTTAATTTTACTCAGGCTGAGAATCTGCTGTTGGATGGAGAGATGAATATTAAAATAGCAGACTTTGGATTTAGTAATGAGTTTTCTCCCGGTCAGAAACTGGACACATTTTGTGGTAGTCCACCATATGCTGCTCCAGAATTGTTTCAAGGTATTTTACTCTCTGAATTTTTGCACCTATTATGTTTAATTCAAGTTTCAAAAATATAACTTGTTCATTTCATGTCTTGAACACATTTTGGCTAGTGTACTGTAAGGAATTGTGTCTAAGCTCTGTTATCTAACTGACTGATTTCCTGTTTATCTACACATATCTTAGTTTAAATATTCAACAGAGCAAATTGGTGAAGTTTTACTTCTTCCAGATTCAAAACATGTAATTTATCTTAAAATAATCACTATTCTAATTAGGTCAACTTTCAGTATCATTGCTGTTGTATTTTTTATTAAAGTGAACATTGTTATACTTTATCACTATACTTACTGTTTTAATGTTAAAACAGCTCCCTGCTAACTTCTGATTACTTCTTATTTCAAATTGACACTTTTACAGCATAAATATCTTTCTCCAATTTTATACAGTCATTGCTGATTTGACTTGGCTATTCTGGCATTCCAGATTATTTTTAGTTTATATAATGCTTAATCAGTCAGACTCAATATCAACAGTAATATAAATACAGAGGTTAATCAGTGAAAATTAAAAGCATAAATTGGCAAGTCCCAATTTGGATAAGAGTTTCCAACTTTTGATAATCTTTAAACTGATGATTTTGCAACAGTTTCATCTGTTAGTTACTCTATGCTAAAATTCTTATAATCCATGTTTTGTTAATTTGAAGATCTGTATAAAGAAAGATGGGAAATACATATCAATTTCAAATTCTAAAAGAAAAGAGTTTTTTGCAGTCTCTTACTGTATTCTAAAACTGCTACAATCTGCTACAAAGTATCTGTTACTCCTGTGTAAAGAAATGTGGGAAAAACATAACATACAAACAAAACATACCTAAAAGTATAACAGATTTGTACTTTATTATATGGTTAAAGCACTTGGGAGACAGTGGTAATATTGTGTTACTTTAACTCTTTCCACATGATCATCCTTTTCTGTGCATGTCATGAGTTTTTACTGAGTTACATCCAAAATTGAATTAAATTTCCTTGTTATCGTGATATATGAATAAACTTGGCATCAAAACATAGTTAATAATCCAAATTTTATTATTATATAAGTTTTAAGTTTTTAATTTTGTTATGCAATATTTAAAAAAAATCCTAAAATTTCCCCTAATATGAGAATTGTGATATTTGCTCTCTCTTCCTTTAATGTACTTACCACCCCTCTGAGAAGTATGGAATTTAACATAAATTACTCATTATATTATTGTTATTATTCAGGCAAAACATAATTTTTATAGCCTACAATCTTATTTGGTTACAGAGCCATAATCTAGAAAATCAGACCCCTCTTGCCACACCCATCTGTCACATGCTCTCTTTCAGAAATTGCCAATGGTTCTCTATGACATTTAGTACTATATTACTTATAACCAATAGAAAGCCAAAATTTTAATTTATGAGATGATATATTATATTATGTTGTTTTCCATGCAGAGAATTGTCTATTTCGATTCTAGTTCAAACTTTGTTTCCATGGGAAGCACATTGACAGGCTTAGTTGAATGTTTAACAGCTCTTATCACGTAGTTAGAAAGCTAGAAAAATTATGATAGACATAGGAGCTTGTCTGATTTTTTGTTTGTGTTATTATTCTATGTTCTTAAGTGCATTATTTAGTTAAATAAAACATTATTTTGTGCAGTAGTATTATTAGTATAATAAGTAGGGTTAAGTTTCATCGAAAGTCAACAGAAAAAAAGAAGATCCAGGTAAGTACCATATTTCTTGTTTTTCATGTGTATTCTTTATTATTATAAAAGTAATTAAAATTTAAAAATTAGAAATTTTTAGGTTAGATAAGGTTAGATTAAGTTGATCATAATAAATTTTCATAAGGTACACTCTCAAACAGCTCGCAAGTAGCCTCTGCATTACATAATTCGATAACATAATGTCATCTACACATTCACCAAATGATTTACTACTTTTTTTGTGGGATTATTAGTTAGACATGGTTCAAAGGGCAATAAAACTGTTTTGAGTTTTAAGCTATTTAGGATAAACAAATGTAGTTTCATGTTACAGTTTGAAGTCATTCTAGAAAGAAAAGGGTAATTTAGATTTATTTTGTATATTTTTTATTGTGGTTATGAGGTTGGTAAATTTGAATAGAGATAAAGTAGAGAAAATAACAGACAAAATATAAAATTTTACTGAAAAAAAAGAGTTTGAAATTTATTTAGGAGGTTTCAGAGATTGTGCAAATGAAATATGATCATTTTTGGATGAAGAAAAGTATTTTTAATTTTAACATGAAAGTAAATAACTTTGCACTCAGAACAGTCAATGCTTTGGGTCTGACTATATATTCACAGAGAAATGTTTAGTGAAAATAAATCATTATATATTCTGATTTTTTTGTCTGCAAAAAACTTAATGCTTACTGAAACTTTGGGAAATTTCATAAAGATATACAAAATATACTAGAATTTATAGTATGGAAACTATAAATGTCAACTTAGGGTATGAACTTGGGTAGTTCGATTTAGCTCATAGTGAGAGCATTAATGGTTTAAGTAATAATGTGCAAAACAATAATCTGAATTTTTAACAATAACAGTTTGATCCAGCAAAGTATTGGTACTTTGTCAACCTCTGAAGTTAGCTGGTTTCATGAGTGATGTGACTAGCATCTGCAAGTATAAAATACAGTATAATCCACTGAAAATGGAGAGATGAATTCACTATATAAAATGCTTGATATCCAACAACATATAAAAATTGCTTGTCTCAGAATTATGTATCTCACTTTTTATTTTGGAACAATCACATTTATACTTTGTTTACATCCTCCTGATAGTTGTCTCAGAAACACATTTAATAAACATAAAAAGAGCTTTATAACCTTTGTTCAAAAAATTAAAATACTTAAGGGCTAAAGTATGGAATGAAATAACAAAGCATTACAAGCTAAATTTTGCTGTATCAAAAATAATGACTAAAAGTATTCTAATAAAAACCTTAAATAAAAAAGAAGTTGAGAATATAGATCATTCTTGTTATTGTTCATCATTTTGATAAATCTAGATGTTGTAATAATCATGATTAAGTTCAGTTTATTCAAAAACCAAATAAATGTTCATGTTTTTCCATAATTTGATTTTTGTATTAAAACTTCTGTTTGGAGTGTGTAATATTTCCTTCAAGTGATAAGCACAGAAGCTTAATAAAAAATTTAACATTTGAGTGATTAATTTTAGTTATAGCTTTTGTATTTATTGTAGTAACTTGCTAACGTCCAATATATATTCTGGTACTTGTCAGTTCTTTGATTGTGTTTTACATCATTTTCAGTAACCTTGACATGAAATATTCTTCTGATTGAAATATATAGTGAAATCAAGCGATTTATTTTCTTCCTCTTTTGTCAGGGAAAAAGTATGATGGTCCAGAAGTAGATGTGTGGAGTCTCGGAGTGATCCTCTACACACTAGTCAGTGGTTCTCTGCCTTTTGATGGAGCTAATTTGAAGGTATAAATTTACTGGCAAGTACTTAAAATTAGCATTTTCTAAATGACTTGTACTAAGTGACACAGAAATGTATGATTAACTTTCTGATATTGCTTGGATATTTATTAAATCTTTTCTATAATTTCAAATATTGTGGAATTTACCAATTCTTTCAGTGCAAGTATTATTTGTCTTTTCTCAGTGTATTGATACAAAACAGAACTATTATATTAGACTAAAATAGTGTTTCAGTGTGTTCCAGGCATCATCAATGAAATCGTTGGATTGGTGAAATAGCAAAAGGAAAAAAAGAAGCCAAGTCTTTAGCTGTTTCAAGCAATAAGTTTGATAAACTCATAAATCAAAATAAATATCTAAGCAAAAGAACATCTATGAGCTCATAAAGTCCTAGTGGTTTCCTACTAACACATTTTTTATGTGATTAGTTCAGTTTTATTTGACTGAGTTTCTACACTTACTCCACTATTAAAGAGTTCAATAATATATTGACAATATAGGCATGCTTTTATAGCTCTTTTTTTTTCAAGTCTGTACCTTTTTCATATAAATCAGAGTAAGAAATTTCATTAAACTGTTAGTAGTGATGTACATTATACAAAGTTGAAGTGAGAAGTAAATAGTTTTGGTAGTGTCTACTCTTTGCTCTTCTTCCTGACTTTTACTTCCTTGTTTTTTCTTATTGTTTGTTAATCTTTATTTTACAAAACATTTTGCCAGACTCTAGTCCAGACTCGTCTTTTTTTCTTCACCTGTTACTCATCTCCTTTCACCCATTTTAAAAAATTTCTCATCTAAGATGCCATTGGTCTGGTTCATCATGGAGGAAATATTTGGACTTAACTGACCTCAGAGGGACATCACCATAAATTCATGTTGACTCTCTTTTTGCCAAGTTTTAAGAAACTTTATCAGTAAAATGCCATTTTAAGTTGTTATTAGTATGAAGTCAATATTTTGTGTCAGGCATTTCCAAAATGCCTGACATACATTATCTTACTTCCTCTCACAGAACAGATTTTCCTGACTTGCATGGCCCTCTGTATGCACAAATTTTTGCTTGCCACTAGCCTTGATACTCCCACCTACTATCATGTGTTTTCATAGTAGGGAAATGAGCATGCAACAACCCTCCACCAATGGGAGTAGGACACAACTCGCAGCATAGTTGACTCCCTCTATGCAGCTTAGCCCAAAACCACTTCTTGATTGGCACATGTGATGTTAAGACGTGTTTTTCACGTGTGTTTTTCTTTATGGAATTTTCAATCAGTTCCTTGTTGTTTTTTTTAACTTAGTTTTTCTTTATGTTAGCTACACTTGTGTCCTATAACTTTAGATACCAAATGTTAGCATTGTGTGTGTCTTTTATTTTAATACATGATTCTTTGGAGCTCCCTGTTAGACTTTTCTACTTCTGCTCATAGTTGCCATGATTTCTGAAGTTCACGTTACAGCTACTCTCACTGCTGTGCTTACTACAGTTAACCTTCCTTCAACTACAGTGACTTCTGGGCTACAGCTGTAAGCAGAAGATGTTAAGACATTGGTTTGTTGGGAGTTGGCTAATTTTGTTAGAGCTCCTGATTCATCTGAGGATTATCCTATTATGCCTTATTCATTGATACAAGAACAAAGCATGTCCTCCCCCTTTCTATATGCCACAGTGACATTTAGTTCCAGTGGAAGTTCCCAGGCCTCCTCCTCCTTTCCTGGAGTTAGTAAACAAGGTATGTTATGTTTTGTTCCCCCATTCCTTTGACACCCCCCATTCCCCATTAAGTGAGACACCTTTGGGCCAATAACTTGTTATCCCCTCCTCATCAGATATTGGGGTTTGTGTCAATAAGTTTGTAAACCACTTAAGTTCAAGGGTCAATTTTCCTTGACCCCCAAGAAATATGGAAGTCCATGCTATGACTTACCATAGGTCTGGACTTTTTTGGACTTGCAGCAGCTAGATGCTCTAGTGCTTCTCTGGGGTTCAGATCCCAATACTTTGGTAACGTTTTCCCAACCTCAATTTTCCCATATTTGCTTCACTTTATCCTCCCTTCTTTGTTCCATTTCCTAAATTCATCTTCTGTCTGAGGCTCTTAATTGTTCCCGTGAAGGGTTTTCGGTGGAGATTTGTGCCCTACTTCTTTCCATGCTTGCATGACTGTTCTCTTCTGCACTTTCCCTCCAGATATGGCTCCTCTGTTTTGGGATGCTCTTTTATATGACGTATGTTTATCCCCCCCATATATTACTTGCAAATGGCTTCTTTTTTAAGGCAAGATGTTTTTGAGGGTCTTTCTGAGTCTTGAGTGTGCAAGTTTTCACACCCCCCCTTTCTTCATTAGCATTCTGTTTTTTCTCAACCGTCTTCTGAACTTGTACCTACGTCTCATCCTCCTCTTTCCTCTGTTTTACCAGTTCCTGCTTCAGCACCCATGGCAGTCCCAGTGACTATGTGATGGGTATAGGTCTGATGGGGGGCCAGGCTTTTGTGCCTTGTCACCATTTGGGAGCCCTTCACCACAGACCCTTGGGTTCATTCTGAAGGGTTTGTACTTCATTTCAGTTCCCCTCCTCCCCTGTCACCGCTTCCCATATCCTTTCCCTCTCCTCGGGATTCCATTTCCAGCCAGAACCTTTACAAGGTGGTTCTAAATCTTCTTCACAAGGGCACTGTAGAACAGGTAGATCTTTCTCATCCAGGTTTCTATTCCCATTTGTTCATATTCCCTAAGAAAACCAGGGACTGGTGCCCCATCATCAATCTCTTCCATGAATTGCTTCCCCGAACTTTCTCGATTCCCCATGGAGACCTGCCTATCTCTTTGAATGGCTTTCAATCCAGGCCTTTGGATGACAAAGGTAGATGTCTTGGATATTTACCTCTACATTTCCATTTCCCAAGCATCCCATCATTTAATTCATTGAGGTTGCATCTACCAGTTCCAGTCTCTTCTGTTCAGGCTGGCTACCTCTATGCTTATTCATCCATCCATCTTCTTTGTGTTGTCCTCTCAGTCAAACAAACCACTCTTTGTCACATCATGGTGGCTTCAATTTGGCTTGCACAGCTGTGGTTTCCACTTTTGCTTCTGTTTCTACTGACATTTCCACCTCCTCTACCCCTTTCACCCACTTTCCTCAGACAACCTCACATTGGCACACTACATCCTTCACTTCTAACACTCTGTCTTCACAGGTAGCTTTTATACAATCCCTTGCCAGATTGGTCGGTCTTTCCTTGCAGGTTACTTCCCTCATTTCCCATTCTGTTCACTCTTCCTCCATGTCAGTTTGCCAGTGTAAGTAGTTTGTGTACTGCCATTGGTCTTTTCATCATGGTTCTCCTCCATCCCACCCTACCTTCTGCATCTGATTTCCTTCCTTGCCTGGCTTTTTGACAAGGAGCTGATTATTGTGCAGACTTGTCAGCTACTTTCCCTATCACAAGATTATGCTGTGTCTTCACTTCTCCAGTTTTCACTCTATTTTTTCTTTTCTTCTGCCTTTGCTGTCATCCGTGTTCTACCTCCCTCCCTGATTGGAACCTCAATGTTGTCCTCTATGCCCTCACACTTTTCCTTCAAGCCCATGCCATCCTGTTCCTTATGTTATTTTTCCTTAAACATCTTTTCCCTCCATCTTTTGGCATGAGGATGTCAATGTTCGGTTTTGTTTGCTTTTGATATATCTCACATCTTATATCACAGGAACTATGTCCTTCTCTACCCAGATCAGTCTTTCCTGCCCAAAACATTGGCTGCACATAGGGGCAATTTTGCCTACACCCCAATTTCCCTCTCTTCTGTTTCTCACCTTTATCATTGTTCTGATTCGGATCACCTCTTATGTCACGTCCAGAGTCTCTACTGTTATGTGGCTCACACTGCTCTCTTCCAGAGCACAGAAGTGATATGGTCTCCCATGGGTGTGTCTCACATACTCTTGATTTCTCCTATTATTACCCTTACAGGTTGGATTTGCCATCTGAATCACCTTATTCTTCCCTGTCTCCTGATGATTGTTGTCTATTCCAAGCCTCTTTTAATCAAATCTGTCACATGTCCCTGGCTGTCTGATTCCTTGTCTATTGGAGGATACCAGGTATACTTATTCTTAAACCCACACTGTACAACCATTCAGGTCAATAATGTCCACCGTTGAGATAGGGTGTTTCACAAGACTGCTTGTAGGTTTTTCCTCGTGGTGCTTTGCATCATAAGTATGTGTTGCTCTGGACCATAAGCTTGTGGACTAACATGAGTAAAGCAGAAGGGGATTGCTGCCCATCCCCACTGCTCTTTTGATTGGCTGTATCAGGAACAAACAACTTTTCAAAATAATATTTTGCAGTCACCTATTGTACTTGCATTTCTCCAGACTCTCCAATGCATTTTTCCCCTTCTCTTCCAGTGCAGTATGGGAGTACTTACCACCTAGCAGCTGGAGTGGTGAACCATGGAGGCTTCCTCTTGAGTGTGCATAATCCCACTTGGTTGAGAGTTAGGAGGTGATGTTCTGCCAGTTTAGGCACTGTTGAGAGTTAGGAGGTGATGTTCTGCCAGTTTAGGCACACCTCCTATTGCAGACATTTTGTAATATTTCAAATGCTTTATGATGTGGACTTTATGATGCCTGCCACTATGCACTTCACCTCTCCAATTGGGCACCCTCCTTCCTACCGGTTGTTGGTTCTAGGGGAGGTACAGGTGTTCACTGAAGCTGGACCGGTTTCTTAAGTCCTCACATGTGAGTGGCCCAGGTACCCTCCTCCTACAGAAGACTGAATGATTCATCCCCAGTGCCTCCTGGTTCTGGACTGGTGTTGAACTGCCACATTGCTGCCTGCCTGCCTTCCTACCACTGTCTAAATCAGATTTTCTTCCTCCTTTCCATTTCTCTTGCCCCAGGTGAATGGTAGAGGACCCTCTTTCTAACATGGGCTGGATAATCCTATAATGTTTCTTTTGGTGTTGGTTGATATTTAACTCCCCCTTATGGTCCACTGCACCCTAGCCACTCTACACCATGGGTTTCTTCATTTCATATATGGGGTCCCTTCAATGTTTTTGCCCTTATTGCGACACACCACCTTAATGGGTGAAGAGTATACCTGGCTCAGAAGTTGTGCAGTCTCCCATGGGAGTGTCTTACATACTCTTTATTCACACACCCTATAGGCTTCCTTTGGGCACTTTCTGAAGGTTGGTCATTTAGATAATGTTACACCGGTTCCTTCACCATGTCATTGTTGAATTCTAGCTATTCTGTGAGTTGAGTTGAGATAATGAATTGGAAGCTAACATTTTCCTACACAGAAAATATATTTCCGATAGATTTTTACCTCCTCTCACACTTCCCACCCTTCCTCCCCACTTCTTGTGTCTTTTCCTTTTCTGTTGCTCAATCTGGAAGGGATTTTGAGCTAAGCTGCATAGAAGGAGTTAGCCGTGCTGGGAGTTGTGTTACACTTCTATTGGTGGAGGGATTTCACATGCTCAGTTGGATGCTATCACAAAACTGTCTCACTTGAAAACATTTGAGGGTAGGTAGGAGTATCAAGGCTAGTGAAAAGTGAAACTTTGTGCATATAGAGGGGAGTAGAAGTTGGAAAAAGCTATTCTGTGACAAGATGTAAGAATCTATTGGAAATACATTTTCAGTGTAGGAAAATGTTAACATTATAAAACTAAAAATTTGGGTATTTGCTTTTTCAATGGAATTATTAATTTTCTTTTTTAGTCAAAAAACTTTCAACTGTTGATAATTTATCTTATGGACTTGTTTTATAGACATGATGGGAGGGTATTTTTGGACCAAATTCATGTCGACAGTTTGAGTTATGTTGTAGATTTTATTTTGATCATACAGTGAAAGGATATTTTTGGGCTAAACATCTTTCAACTCTAGTCATTTTTCATATGGATTTGTTTTTATAATGACATAGCGAGAGGATATTTTTTGTAAGTAGTGAATACTTTTCTTAAAATTTCATTTGTGTATAAAGAAATAATGAAACAGAAATTATAATTTGTATATGAATTTTGTTTTTAGGAGTTGAGAGAAAGGGTGTTGCGAGGGAAGTACAGAATACCATTCTATATGACAACAGACTGTGAAAACCTGCTTAAGAAATTCTTAGTTCTTAATCCAACAAAACGAGTCTTGCTTGAAGTATGTTCACCTTGACATTTTGTCAATTTACTTAGATTTTATTGTATGTAAATTATTTTGTAATGGCATTAGTATATATATTGTCACGCTAGGCACTTTTTATATATTATGGTAAAGGTGATGCATTTCTGTCACTCATAATTAATTTTTACACTACATTTGTACAACATAAAGTGGAAATTAAAATTTACTGTTATTTAAAAAGAGAATTATATCTTTCTGTAGTGGAATATATGTACAAAATGAAAAATCATGGAGTGAAATCTACACAATTACAAAAATGATTCATATGATTATAATAAATGTTTTTGGATGTTGAGAAGCTAGCCACAAAGTGGCATTTTGAAGGGGTTTAAAAGATGTAAGTTCTATCATTTTATTATGACATTTATTGTATTTTTTAAGTTTTTTGTTGAGATTCTGTTTGTTTGTATATTTTGTAATTATTTAGAGTATAATGAAAGATAAGTGGATGAACTTAGGATATGAAGATGAGCAACTTAAACCTTATGTGCAGCCAGAATCTGACATGCAAGATGCCAGAAGAATAGGTAATAATTACATTTTATAAATAAAAGTATTTTAGCATTGTAAATATTTTTTCTCTAACTAACTTTCTCACTATGGGCTTGATCAAATTAGCTGAGTTTGTGATCCCAAATTGACCTTTAAAGTTTCTATACTATAACTTTTAGTATGTTTTGTTTATTTTCACGAAATTTTGCAAGCTTTCAGAATTTTTAATGAAGTATTTTCACTAAATATTTCTCCATGTATATATGGAATCAAAGTGTTGACTATTCCAAGGAAAAATGATTTATTTTCATCTTAAGATTAAAAAAATACATTTCATCTGAAAATTGTCAAATTTCATTTGTGTAATCTCTAAAACCTCCTAAATAAATCTCAAACTTTTTTTTTTTTGAGTAAAACTATATTTTATGTTATGTTTTCTACCCTAATTCTATACAGGGTTGGTCAATGTGACGAACTTCGTAACCACCAAAAACAGTTGGAATAAATCTAAATTACCCTATTTTTATTTCTAGAATAACATAAAATTGTAACATGGAACTACATTTTTTTTTCTAAATTGATTTAAACTCGTAGCAGTATACATATGTTTATACTTAAATTTTATTGTTTTATCAACCTTTGAACTGTGTCTAAGTGATATTCCCACCATATAATTTGTAAATCACTTGGTGAGTGTGGAATTCATATTACCCTATCAAATTACATAATGCACAAACTACTCATGAATGTACCTTGTCAAATATATCATTATTCTTTATTTTACCTAATCTAACCTAAAAATTTATAATTTTTACACACAAAAAACAAGAAATAAGGTACTTACCTGTGTCTTCTTTTTGTTATTGCTGTCAACTGTTGATGACGTTTAACGTTTTATATACTAATGGTACTATTGCAGAAAATAATTTTTTATTGAATTAAATTTTGCACCTAAGAACACAGATAATAACATGTTAAAAGTAGACAATGTCCTATAGCTATCATAGTTTTTTGGCTTTATAACTATGTGATAACAGCTGTTAAAAATTTAGCTAATCTCCTTGATGTGTTTCCCATGGGGATAAACTTTGAACTGGAAAAAAATAGACATTAAATAATGCACCAAAGTACACAGAATAATCACATGCATAAAGCAGACAACATTCCAAAACTATCACAGTTCGGCTAAGCTTGTCGATGTACAGTGTGTCCCAGAAGTCTGGGAAATATACACAGTGTATTCTTTATTTATTTATTATTCAAATTGCATGCCATTAACAGCCATACACATGTCAATTCTTGGTATACTGTGCCATCAATGTATTTTCTTTCCTGAAATATGTACAAATGACACTAGATATGTGTTTGTTTAACTTTAAGAATATATTGTCTATTTTCCCTATGGGTCCAGACTTCTGGGATACTCTGTATTTTCCCTGGGAAAAAAGTTTGAACTGAAAGTGAAATAGACAATTCTCTATACAGAAAACAATGATTAAATTATTAGATTAAATTAAAACCTTGGCTTTTTATTGGTCATAAATAATATAGTATTAAATGTCAAGAGAGAACTATTGGCAATTTCTGAAAGAGAGGATGTGATGGGTGGGTGTGGCAAGATGGGTCTAATTTTCTATCTTATGTCTCTCTAACTAAATAAGGGTGAAGGCTATAAAAATTATGCTTTATCTGAGCAATGACAACATTATAATGAGTAATTTACGTTAAGTTTCATACTTTTTGGAGGGGTGGTATATGAATTAGAGAAAATTAGAGAACTAGACAAAAAGTAATCATAGTAAGACTTTATTAGCTGGAAATTCACTCGTACTATTGGATACAAACGTGTTAATGAACTAAGGACACCTGGTATAAGCTATGATAAGACTAGCAAAACAATGGGTCTATGTCTCACATTTACAGGGCAACTATAATGCAGATTTAATGCTTGGAGTACTATTTTGCACTTTTTCAGTTCACTAATCATTGCTGCTATAATGCAAGATTAATTTCTTTAACCAAGTTATGATTGGTAATTAGTATGCATACTTATTTACATGTTCTAATGTAAATCAATGCTAAATTTGGGATTCGCTTTATGGGGAATTCTGATGAAAGTGTTTTAATGAAATACATGGATTCCCTAAGGGGTTGTGTGAAGCAGTTTACATTAGTGTAAACCTCTGGGCAAAGACAATTTGTTTGGTGCCACTTAGGAGTTGGTAAGTCCAGCAGTTTAGAAAAAGGGTTCTCAGGACATCCCCAGGTTCCCCAATGATTGGGATTAAGAATTCGTTTGGTATCATTTAGAAATTGGTGCAACCAGCAGTTTAGGAGGAATTACGTGAAACAGACACAACACACATACACAAAGACAATTTTGAACTATTTTGCACTTTTTCAGTTTAACTATTATTTCTGCTAGCATGCAAATGTAACTTTTTAAATGAAGTTATAAACAATAATTAGTAGGCCTGCATATTGACGTGCTCAAATGTAAATAAATGCTAAATTTGTGGTCCACTTTTGGGGAATTCCTATAAAAGTGTTTTCATGAAATTTCTGGGTCCCCTAAGAGGTTAAATTAAAAGTTTTATGTTTGTGCAAACCTCAGGGACAATTCATTTGGTATCATTTAGAAGTAGTTTTGGAGAATGGGTTTTCAAGAAATCTCTGGGTTCCCCAAGGGTGGGGTGAAAATTTTACATTTGTACAAACCTTAGAACCAAAGCGATTGAGTTAGAAGTTGGTGTGATCAGCAGTTTAGGAAGAGTTATGTGACACACACGCACACAGACACTGAATCTTATTATATAGATTGTAGAAACATCACTGATGAATGTAACAAATGAAAAACAATCTCTATCATCAATATCTAAATTTTGTGTTTCTAATCGGTTTGACACTTTGATACTCATAAAAGGGAATATAGAAAATCTAAAATGGAAAATTGAAAGTTGACACAAAGAAGGCCATATTTTCTTAAGCAACTGCTAAAATAGCCATGAAAAATTACCAAAGAGAAATGTAAAAAAAACAACAAATATATAATTCAGTATAAAACTAGTTTAAAACTTATTACATATATTAAATACATATTAATTGACAGTAAAAAAAACTTGGCTTGCTTATAATTTTAGAATTGTAAAAATCTTATTTTTATTGTATGCCAGTGATTGCAAACACAGTAAAACTGTGTATTTTTTCTAATCGAAGAAAGATAAAGTTTATAATTGTATAAAATATAAACTTTATACAAAGTTTTATAAGTATGTAACATAACATTAAAGGACAACAAGGGAGTCTTTGTTCCATCTATACTGTCTTATTTGCTAAATTAAACTAAACTCTTAAAAATGAAACAAAAAGGAGAAAGAAAACCTCAAATATTTATCAAACTTTCCCTTAAACTCTCGTAAATTAACTGTATCCACCACATCTGAAGACAACTCGTTCCATTGACCATCCACCCATTTAGAAAAATAAAGCTGTCTTAGCTGAACATGACTTCTTCCCTGGCAAAATTTAGATTTGTGTCCCCTAATCTTACCATTCTCACCATTAAATATGGAAAAAAGGTGGTACATCAACACTATCAATTCATATAACAATCTTAAACACCTCAATTAGATCCCTTTTAAGAAGTTCTGAGATTTTAACCTATCCTCATTTGATAACATTTCCATCCCAAGTATCAACCTAGTAGCCCTTCTCTGAACACTTTCCAACAATTCAATGTCCTTTCTGAGGTAAGGAGCCCAAGGCTGAATGGAAATACTCCAAATGTGGTCTAACTAATGACCTATACATTGACATTATAACCTCTGTAGATCTGTATTCAGTGTTTCTGTAGATACAACCTAATCCTATATGCCCTGCCACTAGCAACAACACATTGCTTGGATGGCTTAAGAGAGTGATCAACTAGAACATCAAGATTTTTTTTTCTCCAGTAACACTGCTAAAGCTGTTCTCATAATTCAAATGGTGATATTCCATATGCATTACCTTGCCTTTATTATAATTAAAATTCATCTGTCATTTATTTGCCTAACTCACCAAATATCCAAACCATTTTGTAAAGCATCAACATCCTCCTCACAGCTAGCAACACCCAAAACTTTAATGTCATCAACAAATTTAAATTATTTGTTAACCATTTTTTCATCTATGTCATTGATATAAATAAAAAAGAACAATGATTCTAACATTGAGCCCTGAGGAACCCCACTTGTGACATTAATCCAAAGAAAGAAATGTCATAGTTGATAGGAATATATAAAATGTGCAATTAAAATGTACAACAAAGGTAAGAATTTTGAATTGTTTCTTAAACAAATTACAATGAAATCTTTTGAATTGTCAAAGCTGGGAATAAATACAAATCACACATAAAAATAAGATATTTTATTTGCACAAGTTACATAATCAAAGTAACCACTGAATTTGAACATGGTGTGGGAAGGGCACCATTTGAACACAGACCAGTGTCAAACATTTTGAATTGTTAATATTAAAACTGTTTGCTGTAATAAAACTATATGTGTGTATGTTAGTTGATAAAAGTTGTTCAAATGTGATAATTTTTTTGTTTGTGTTTTGCCATTTGGATTTTTTTTAAAGATGATATACAAGTTTTAAATAATATTGAAAAGTAGGAGAAAACTCTATCAGAAATATCCTATGATAGATTTTTTTCTGTAATGTGTGAAAAGAACAGATGAAAAAGTACACTAAGAAAGTATTCATACAATTTAAAAAATGTTTGAAACTGTATTAATATCACCAAAAATATAGAAGAAGAGTAACAGTGATCAGTCATTTCATAAAAGTGCTGAGAAAACTGTTAGTTTGCTATATAATCCTACCAACAATGTTGTGCTTGAAAGTCTTAGAAATGTTAAAAATATACTTATGTTGTATAGGACTGTAGAATCAACATTCAAGATTTTTAACTTTATGCACAATATAGGTAAATGGTACCAGAATGATTAAATGTCCGTCATCCAAATTGTTTTATACTTTTAAAGTATTAATGTTAAAAAATGTGTGATGAAGAATATTATATGAAAATTAAAAATGAGACTGAATCTTTCTACCAGATACAAAGTGAAGGAAACAAACATCCACAAAAACATTTTACTATAGATAACTGCATGTACTTTGCTTTATCAGTTAGGTTTAAAAGGTATTTACAAGAATATTTGAATATTTTTATATGAACAAAATGCATATAGTTTTGTGATACACTATATTTTTATACATGTTTGAATTAATTAATTTTTTCTTCTTTCATTTGTTTTTTTTGTCAGATATTTTACAAAACTTGGGTTTCTCAAGAGATGATATAGAAGATTCACTTCAAAATAAGAAATATGATGACATAATGGCAAACTATTTACTGATTGGAAAAAAGACAACTGAAGTGAGTAATTCTTGATTTTGTGGTGTTGGAAATTATGGAGATGTGGTTAGCACTTCATTAAAACCAAGACACTTGTGAATTCAGGACATATCACAGTTACCATGAATTACCATTGTAGATTATTTGGGTATTTTTCTTTAAGGAAGATGTAAGGTAAAGATAGTGCTACTATAGCATAAACAAACAATATTTCAAAGTTATGAAATTGTTGTGATCCAAGCAAAATACTTCATCATTCTCCATATAATTTTTCATATCTTCTCTTGGAATTAATGTGTTTAATCATTAGAAGAAAATACTGCGGTGATAACCTACTAGACCAATGGTAAACAGTCTTTCTAAATCAGGCTTGGCTCGGCTTGATACATTGGCATTATATTAAAATTAATACATTTGTGTTGTTGTAGGGTTCATTTGGAGATGAAAATGCTGTTAAAAGCAATTATAAAAATATAATAAGGTGCACAGAATTATTAAAGGTTTATTTTAAGTGAATAGTCCTCTAGAAAATTACATCAGATTGAAAGGATAATGTCAATGAAATGAATAAATGTCCTGCTATCGAAAGTTAGTGTTTCCTTTACTGTTACTAAAGCAAAAGTATAGGAGATACTCCATATAGAAGCAGTAATATTGATACTAATATTAGGTCTGCATGAATATTTACAAAATGCACTAGATTTCCTTTAAAACTGTTACCCTCCTCTGCCCTCTCCTCCAGATTATGTTGCTTATCATGGACATGACTGTTCTAACTATTAACCTCCAGATTTTCCAGCCTGACCTATTCTCATACTTTATGTGTGTATATATAAATATATTTATATATATTTAAAATTAATTTATACATTTTTTATGTTTCTATACACACCATCTCTTTTGTATTAGATGTTGAATCAAATCCATAATGACTTATTTGCTAACAAAACTATCATTATTTTATTCCTTGTTTGTGTAATGATAGGAATTTTATCATTTATATATGTATGAAGTAAAACTGAAATTTTAAAGACGTATATATATATATTTTTGTATACTACCTAGCTTCTACTAGGAAAAATATTAAAAACTGCTTATTCCTCTTAATAAAATTAGATGTCAAGAAAGTCCAGTAATTTTTTACATACAATATTTGTTGTTGTTATAGTACAGAGTATTTGTTAAGTTGTATTTAAGCATTGAAGTTGTGAATAGCTGTATGCCAGTCTGATTGCAGAATGAAATTTGTGACTCAAGATCGGGATCCAGTTTATCACTTCAAGTTTTGCGTCGTACAGGAGACAGCTCCACAGGTGATTCGCCTTCACACAGCAAAGTCCAGAGAAGTACCTCTGCTACAACAAAGTCTCGTCAAAGTAGTCGTGTAGAAACAGGAGGTAAATTGACAGTTTTATCTATTTTAGTTAATTTGATAGTATAGTATGTTTTTTTATTCTATCTATTTTTTTGCTTGAGTACTTATGCTGATGTATGTGAACATAATGCTGGTACTGTTCATATTTCCGATACGATACCTTACTTCAGCTCACATAATAGCTGTTCTTGATTTGTGTTGCTCTCTATTTGCCGAATTTTTGCTTGCCACTAGCCTTGAGGCTCCCATCTAACATCACATGTTTACATATGGTATAGCTCCATTGCAACATGCAAATAAGCATGCAGCAATCTTCCAACAATAAGAGTGTGACACACCATCCTAGCACAGCTGGCTCCTTCTGTACCATAGAGCACGATAATGGCTTCTTGATTTGGCACTTGCGTGTAACGATGTGTCTTTTTGTTGCTCGTGAACTCTTCAGATATAGGCGTTTTTCAATGGAAGTATCTACGAAGACATTGTTACACAAGTGTCAGTAACTTCTACTTTGTTTGGTGTGAAACAACATGATTTTATTCACATTAGCCTACAAAGTACATTAGTGTTGGGTTTGTCTGTTTGTTGGGAGAGGGGACAGCTTTTGTATGGTGGGTGGTGCAGTCTTTCATGAGGCCTGAACCACCTGTTGTCCTTCACATACATCTTCCTATGTTTTGCTTTCATGACGGAAGGGAATTTGTACTTTTCTTTTTCCCACTTACTTTTTACTTCATCTTATACACATGTTGTCTTTACCCTTTCTTCATGATTTCATGACAAGGTTTCTCAGGTATGTTTTTTTACATATTCAGTTATTTTTACCACTACTTTGGGGCATACATGCCTCATCATTCTTCATTTTTTCATATGACTTTGTGTTGTATTGCTTTTCTTTCACTCCTAAATTCTGGAGTCTTCTTCAGACATGGGAAGAGGTAGATCCTTTGTCTTTTATTCGTCTTTCTTAAGCTTACGTTTTCCTACTTTCATCTTATACATGCTACTTTTTTCCATTATTTTTCCTTCTTTAACCTTCTTTTCATGGTTATCCATCATTCCCCTGTGGAACATTTGGTGGATGCTCATTCACTTATCTTTTCTCCAGTGGCATGTTTATCTTCCATGGCATTTTCACTTCCTTTTTTTTAGTTGATCTTTTGCTAGAGTTGGTTGTGGCATGATGCCCTTGTAACTCTTGTGCTTTTACTACCCTTATATCTCATATGCCTTCTTCTGGTTCCTCTCATCTTTTCTGGTGTCACATGTTGGGGCTGCAACTTTTCGAGAATTGGACTTCCATGGAATCTTATGTCCCCTTGGGTTGTGCTCATTTGTGATGTCTACAATGGACTGCAGATTCTCTGGATCTTTGCTAGGAGATGTCCTTCCTTACTCAAAGATGTTATCTAGTGGCTTAATAAAAATACTTTCAGTGAATATTCTTCTTCCTTATGTGTGGCTCATTTTCTGTTTCCAGATGACTCCTTGACAGGATTAGGGGCATGTCTGTGTCCAGAATGAGGGAAAACACAAGGGACAAGACAAGTAGGAGGATAGGTATGGAGAAAAAAAATTGAAACAATCCTGACAGAATGCCTCCCAAGCCAAAGCTAAGGGAATAGGAGCAGAAAAGAGGAAGTAGGGTGTTGAGAAGAGTGGCAAGAACATCTAGAAGAAGAGTGTCCAGAGGAGAGCACAGCCACTTGAACACCAGAGGATCAACGGACCAATCCATAGGTACTATCTTGGTGGGACTCAAGAGGCAATCCACGACAAGACTCAGGACACCAGAATAGAACAGTTTATGATACATACTTGTATGGAATATGCCCATAAAAAAAGGGTCAATAGTGTGGAAACAGGGAGAGTGAGACAAAGTGTCACCCTGGTGATTGATAAAGAAAACAACTATAGAGTTGACTGTATGTATGTAGCATCATGAGATGTCTATGAATCATCCTACAAAATATTTTCAAAATTTGATGTACCACCAAAAGTTCTAAGAGATGGATTTGAAGAGACGATATGTCGTGGTATCAAAATGACCCAAATCCACGTGAGAATTGTAAGTTGAGTCCTCCTGATACCTCCATACTGGCCGGCTCAGCCATGGTTTCCTCTCTTGCATCTTCCCCTGTCATCTCATCCTCTACCTATGTCACTATCCCTACTCCTTCAATATTATTCCTCCCTCTCCCATCCAGCAGTGTCATAAAATGTTCCAGACTCTCTTTATGTGTAGCCTTTTTTCATTCTTGTTCAGTTTGTTCTTCCACGACAAGGGTGCACATTCTGTAGTTGGTCTATGCATCATGTTTTCTTCCATTCCCTTTCTTCTATCCCCAATCTTTCCAAATTATTTTGTTGGCTGTTTGAATGAGGCTCTACCTAATACTTTTGGATTTTCTTATTATCATCATGTATTCTCCTCTCCTGTAATTTCTATGCTTTTTTGCTACTGTTTTACTCCTTGTCTTACAGTCCTTCAAATTGGGATCTGAATACTGTTTTCCACGCCCTTACCATTCCTTTCTTTGACCCTTTAGTCTCTTGTTCTTTATATAATTTTTCACTTAGGTCCTACTTTTTGCCTGTGGCCATAGGAGATAAGATGTGTATGCCATTGCTGCTTCCTGTATTTTTTCCTTCCATTTCTCAATATTGTTCTCGTTTTGTTCCGATTCTCTGTTCCTTTCATGTGGTTCATTGTTATTTGGCACACTTTGCTTCTTTTGACAGTTCACTCTCCCATCTATTTATTCTTTGGAATTCCTCATCTCCCTGAGATATTTCTCCTATTTTTCTGAAGGGATGGCTACGGCATCTCATCCATTTAACTTATGCTTCATTGGATGTTGATTCAAATCTCACCAAATCTGACACCCTACTTTCTCTCTGGCTCTTCACTTCTGGAGTTCATGTGAGATAGCATGTGGACTACCCCACTTACTTTCATTGCACACTTTCTTCTACATACTGACTTCCTCCTGTCACCATTCTATGTACCCCCTTACCAGCTCTAAATGGGTAATTTCTTTTTTATATATCACACCTTTACAGTGGCCTATTTCTACATCTCTGGATCCCACTCAGTGGCAAGTGATGTCTGTCCAGGTATACTTAACTTTGAATCTGCACTGTGCATCATTTAAAGGTTTATAATGCTCACTGATGAAATGAGGGTTTCTTGCAGTATATTGCTTCATAAATAAGGTCTGTTCCAGACCATACAAACTTATGGATTATCATAAGTAAAGCAGTGTCAGGACTGCTGCCCATCCCTCTGGACCTAGTTGAATAAACTGGGACCCTCCTGCTTTTCAAAATAGGGTTTTCATGGTCACCTATTGCATAGCCTTAAAGTATTGTATATCTCCTGACTCCTCACCTTGTTGTTTTCTTCCCTCTTCTAGTTGAATATGGAAGTCCTTGCTACTCACCAGTTCCTGGCTGCTGGGATGGTGGACCATGGAGGTTTCCTCCTGAGTGTGACCACTTCCACTCAGTTGAGAGTAGAGCAGTGGTGTTCTGTTGGTGTAGATGGTAAGTACAGTTCTCCTACTGCAGGCACTTACTTAATGCCACCTGTTTTTGACTGAACAAATACACCACATGTAGTTCACCCCTCTGGCTGGCTTTCTCCCATTTTACCACTGCCTGGAGGTTGATTCCCAGGTGGTCTGGTGTTGGATCGACATAGGACCAGCTAACACAAGTCTTTACATGTGGTTGGTAGGGGCCCTCCTCCTGTCATAGACCAGTTGAAATACTCTTTCCAATGCTGGTTTTTGACCGGAGTTGACCCACCATGTTTGCATTCCCTCTTCCTACCATTGTTCAGATATGAGGTTTCCCAGTGGCCTGATATTGGTTGTATACTGGGTCTGCACACTTGTGCCCTGCCTGGGTTGTCAGAATGGAAGTTGCTTTTCCATTCTGTTTCTTGGTCTTGAGGTGAAGATGTTTAGGGCCCTCCTCCTACTGTGGAATGGAAAACAAATACCTGATGCTGTCTGGTTTTAGACTGGAGTTCACCCACTCAATACAGTCTGACACACCTTAGTCACTCTACACCATCTGGAGCATCCATTTACTTATCGGACTTGCATCTTTTTTGTCCAGCTTGGTGA